ACAAATCTGGGTCATGTCACCTCACACATCTGGGTCATGTCACCTCACAAATCTGGGTCATGTCACCTCACAAATCTGGGTTATGTCACCTCACAAATCTGGGTCATGTCACCTCACAAATCTGGGTCATGTCACCCACAAATGTGGGTCATGTCACCTACAAATCTGGGTCATGTCACCTCACAAATCTGGGTCATGTCACCTCACAAATCTGGGTCATGTCACCCCACAAATCTGGGTCATGTCACCCCACAAATCTGGGTCATGTCACCCCACAAATGTGGGTCATGTCACCTCACAAATCTGGGTCATGTCACCCACAAATGTGGGTCATGTCACCTACAAATCTGGGTCATGTCACCTCACAAATCTGGGTCATGTCACCTCACAAATCTGGGTCATGTCACCTCACAAATCTGGGTCATGTCACCCCACAAATCTGGGTTATGTCACCTCACAAATCTGGGTTATGTCACCTCACAAATCTGGGTCATGTCATCTCACAAATCTGGGTCATGTCACTTCACAAATCTGGGTTATGTCACCTCACAAATCTGGGTCATGTCACCTCACAAATCTGGGTCATGTCACCTCACAAATCTGGGTCATGTCACCTCACAAATCTGGGTCATGTCACTCCACAAATCTGGGTCATGTCACTCCACAAATCTGGGTCATGTCACCTCACAAATCTGGTCATGTCACCTCACAAATCTGGCCATGTCACCTCACAAATCTGGGTCATGTCACCTCACAAATCTGGGTCATGTCACCTCACAAATCTGGGTCATGTCACCTCACAAATCTGGGCCATGTCACCTCACAAATCTGGGTCATGTCACCTCACAAATCTGGGTCATGTCACCTCACAAATCTGGGTCATGTCACTCCACAAATCTGGGTCATGTCACTCCACAAATCTGGGTCATGTCACCTCACAAATCTGGGTCATGTCACCTCACAAATCTGGCCATGTCACCTCACAAATCTGGGTCATGTCACCTCACAAATCTGGGTCATGTCACCCACAAATCTGGGTCATGTCACCTCACAAATCTGGGCCATGTCACCTCACAAATCTGGGTCATGTCACCTCACAAATCTGGGTCATGTCACCTCACAAATCTGGGTCATGTCACCCCTTAAATCTGGGTCATGTCACCTCACAAATCTGGGTCATGTCACCTCACAAATCTGGGTCATGTCACCTCACACATCTGGGTCATGTCACCTCACAAATCTGGGTCATGTCACCTCACAAATCTGGGTTATGTCACCTCACAAATCTGGGTCATGTCATCTCACAAATCTGGGTCATGTCACCTCACAAATCTGGGTCATGTCACCTCACAAATCTGGGTCATGTCACTCCACAAATCTGGGTCATGTCACTCCACAAATCTGGGTCATGTCACCTCACAAATCTGGGTCATGTCACCTCACAAATCTGGCCATGTCACCTCACAAATCTGGGTCATGTCACCTCACAAATCTGGGTCATGTCACCTCACAAATCTGGGTCATGTCACCTCACAAATCTGGGCCATGTCACCTCACAAATCTGGGTCATGTCACCTCACAAATCTGGGTCATGTCACCTCACAAATCTGGGTCATGTCACCTCACAAATCTGGGTCATGTCACCTCACAAATCTTGCCATGTCACCTCACAAATCTGGGTCATGTCACCTACAAATCTGGGTCATGTCACCTACAAAATTATCACGGTGGCTAGGAGATGTTGACTACCTCGCCTGGTCTACGGTCTGTGTGTCTCTCTCTCATCATCATCACGTGGCTAGGAGATGTTGACTACTTCGCCTGGTCTACGGTCTGTGTGTCTCTCTCTCATCATCACGGTGGCTAGGAGATGTTGACTACCTCGCCTGGTCTACAGTCTGTGTGTCTCTCTCATCATCACGGTGGCTAGGAGATGTTGACTACCTCGCCTGGTATACGGTCTGTGTCTCTCTCTCATCATCATCACGGTGGCTAGGAGATGTTGACTACCTCGCCTGGTCTACGGTCTGTGTGTCTCTCTCATCATCACGGTGGCTAGGAGATGTTGACTACCTCGCCTGGTCTACGGTCTGTGTCTCTCTCTCATCATCATCACGGTGGCTAGGAGATGTTGACTACCTCGCCTGGTCTACAGTCTGTGTGTCTCTCTCATCATCACGGTGGCTAGGAGATGTTGACTACCTCGCCTGGTCTACGGTCTGTGTCTCTCTCTCATCGTCATCAATACGGTGGCTAGGAAATGTTGACTACCTCGCCTGGTCTACGGTCTGTGTCTCTCTCATCATCATCACGGTGGCTAGGAGATGTTGACTACCTCGCCTGGTCTACGGTCTGTGTGTCTCTCTCTCATCGTCATCAATACGGTGGCTAGGAAATGTTGACTACCTCGCCTGGTCTACGGTCTGTGTCTCTCTCATCATCATCACGGTGGCTAGGAGATGTTGACTACCTCGCCTGGTCTACGGTCTGTGGGTGTCTCTCTCTCATCATCATCATCACGGTGGCTAGATGTTGACTACCTCGCCTGGTCTACGGTCTGTGTCTCTCTCTCATCCTCATCATCACGGTGGCTAGGAGATGTTGACTACCTCGCCTGGTCTACGGTCTGTGTCTCTCTCATCATCATCACGGTGGCTAGATGTTGACTACCTCGCGTGGTCTACGGTCTGTGTGTCTCTCTCATCATCACGGTGGCTAAATATTGACTACCTCGCCTGGTCTACGGTCTGTGTCTCTCTCTCATCGTCATCACTACGGTGGCTAGGAGATGTTGACTACCTCGCCTGGTCTACGGTCTGTGTCTCTCTCATCATCATCACGGTGGCTAGATGTTGACTACCTCGCCTGGTCTACGGTCTGTGTGCCTCTCTCTCATCATCATCACTACGGTGGCTAGGAGATGTTGACTACCTCGCCTGGTCTACGGTCTGTGTCTCTCATCATCACGGTGGCTAGATGTTGACTACCTCGCCTGGTCTACGGTCTGTGTGTCTCTCATCATCACGGTGGCTAGATGTTGACTTCCTCGCCTGGTCTACGGTCTGTGTGTCTCTCATCATCACGGTGGCTAGATGTTGACTACCTCGCCTGGTCTACGGTCTGTGTGTCTCTCATCATCACGGTGGCTAGATGTTGACTTCCTCGCCTGGTCTACGGTCTGTGTGTGTCTCTCTCATCACCATCACGGTGGCTAGGAGATGTTGACTACCTCGCCTGGTGTGCAGGAGGTTGTGGGTTCGAACCGGACCCTGACGATGCCTGCTGCTGCTGCTGTAGATTTGGAGTCTGGCGTCATTGAGATTCACCATCTCCAGTGCATGTGACGTCCTTTATTTAACCATCAGACCCTCCCTTCCCATTGAGATTCACCATCTCTAGTGGCTGACTTCCTTTATGTAACCATCAGAACCCCCCCCCCCCCCCCATTGAGATTCACCATCTCTAGTAACTGTGACTTCCTTTATTTAACCACAAGGCCAGACAGCCACCCCCATTGATATTCAACGTCTCTGCGGTGTTTAAAAAGGGAGGAGGATATTTACAATAATTTAATCACAAATATAAATTCTGTTTCCTGTTGTTAAAAAAAATAAAAAAATATCAGCCGTGAACGAAGGTTCCTAATGGACCGCGTCTCGCGGGAAAAGTCAACGACATCATCATGAACATCACCACCATCATCATCACCAACATCACCAACATCAGCACCATCATCACCATCACCATCATCACCACCATCAACATCACCATCATCATCACCATCATCAGCACCATCATCACCACCATCACCATCATCAGCACCACCACCACCATCATCACCACCATCACCACCACCAACATCACCATCATCAGCACCATCATCACCATCATCAGCACCATCACCACCACCATCATCATCATCACCACGATCACCGCCATCATCATCACCACCACCATCACCATCATCACCACCATCACCACCATCATCACCACCACCACCGCCATCATCATCATCATCAAATCACCACCATCACCACCACCATCACCACCATCATCACCACCATCATCACCATCATCATCACCATCTGGGGGTGTGTGCCACTAAAATCGATACTTGGCTGGATACGCACCAAAGTTGTGGTCAACCCTACTACGGATGGACTCGTCCTGCCACGGGAATGTGGAATGTCGCCCCACTGATGAGTCCCTGTCTCTCTCTGGCTTCCGTTTTGAATCAGAGAGACGTGAGCCAAGAACCGGAGCGGCTTGAACCCGACTCATCGGTGTCTCTGACATGGCCATATTAAACCTGACACGGTCATTTTGAAATTGATGTGCCCATTAGGAAATTGACACGGCAATTATGGACCCTGACACGGCCATTTTGAAATTAATGTGCCCGTTAGGAAATTGATGTGGCGATTATGAACCTGACACGGCCGTTTTGAAATTGATATGCCCATTAAGACATTTACACGGTCATCATGAACCTGACACGGCCATTTTGAATTTGGTAATGCCCATTAGGAAATTGACACGGCCATCATGAACCTGACACGGCCATTTTGAAATTGATATCCACATTAGAAAATTGACACGGCCATCATGAACCTGACACGGTCATTTTGAAATTGATGTGCCCATTAGGAAATTGACACGGCCATCATGAACCTGACACGGTCATTTTGAAATTGATGTGCCCATTAGATAATTGACACGGCCATCATGCACCTGACACGGTCATTTTGAAATTGATGTGCCCATTAGGAAATTGACACAGTCATTTTAAACCTGACACGGCCATTTTGGAATTGATGTGCCCATTAGGAAATTGACACGGCAATTATGAACCTGGCACGGCCGTTTTGAAATTGATGTGCCCATTAGGAAATTGACACGGCCATCATGAACCTGACACGGTCATTTTGAAATTGATGTGCCCATTAAGAAATTGACACGGCCATCATAAACCTGACACGGCCGTTTTGAAATTGATGTGCCCATTAGGAAATTGACACGGCCATCATGAACCTGACACGGCCGTTTTGGAATTGATGTGCCCATTAAGAAATTGACACAGCCAATATGAACCTGACACGGCCATTTTGGAATTGATATCCACATTAGAAAATTGACACGGCCAATATGGAATTGATAAGTCCATTAGGAAATTGACACGGCAATTATGATCCCGGCACGGCCATTATGATCCCGACACAGCCATTTTTTAATTTAAATGCCCATTAAGGCTGTTACTGGCCCTGACACGGCCATATTAAACCTGGCACGGCCATTATGGAATTGATATACACATTAGGATATTGACACGGCTATTATGACTCTTGACACGAGCATGTGTGAACACCTGTGTACACGTGTGTGAACATGTGTGCGTGTGTCCACGCGTGTGTCCACACCTCTGTACACGTGTGTGAACATGTGTGTGCGTGTGCGTATTACTGGCCAACCACCCCCTCCGTGTGCCGTGCCAGCCTTCATAAGTGCTGCTCGCTAACAGCACTTGCCCCAACAGTCTGTTAAGCCTTTGTAAGCGTGTGTGTGTGTGCGTGTGTCTACGTGTGTGTACGTGTGTGTGCGTGTGCACGTGTGTGTGAGTGTGTACACGTGTGTGTGTACACGCGTGCGTGTGAGTGTGTACACGCGTGTGAGTGTGTGCACGTGTGTGTGTGTGTGTACACGTGTGTGTGTGTGTACACGTGTGTGTGTGTACACGTGTGTGTGTGTACACGTGTGTGTGTGTGTGAACACGTGTGTGTGTGTGTACACGTGTGTGTGTGTACACGTGTGTGTGTGTACACGTGTGTACACGTGTGTACACGTGTGTGTGTGTGTACACGCGTGTGTGAGTGTGTACACGTGTGTGTGTGTAG